TTTGATGCTGCTAATGATGCTACTGGTGTTGAGCCAGCTAAGTTACTTTACCTGTTGTCACATAAAGTGGAGGACCGGGCATGAGGCTGTAGGGGAGGAGGAGACCTCACTGGGGACACATCTGTGTTGTGCAGAGGCCCCAGCACCAGGAAGGATGCACCTTAAAACACACACAATGTCACTCACCCACATCATGAGCTGTCAGCAGCTTGGGGTGCAGGGCCCCAGACAACAGACTACCCCAGTGAGACACACACAGCTGTCAGGCTTTGTGGCCTGGCAGGGCCCAGCACCCAGGCCTGCACTAGATTTCACCCCCCTGTGCCCCAAGACAGACGCAGTCACCCAAGCACCCACCCACATAACGAGTTTTGCCTGTCAGCAGCTTGGGGTGCAGTTCCCCCAAAACCCACCCCTGCAGTTTTCAGCCCGCTGCATCTTAACACACACAGGGTCATTTGTGCATTAATGCATTAATTTGTTTTTGCATTAATTTCTTAACGTGTGTTAATCATTGCTGGTGTTGGGGGAAAAGTAGTCCCTCTGCCATCTCTCCTTCCTGTGCTACCAAGGGAAATGAGGCCCCTCCCCCTCACTGGTGTGTGCCTGCTTGTGCTACTGGGGGAAAAGCACCCCTTCTTTCCTCACTGCTGCTGATACACACACACACACACACACGCACACACACACTCGCACACGAAAACATCCTGGGACCAGACTTAGCACCTAGATGCAGGTAAGTGTATGGGAGGGCCAGGGGTTGGAGGGCTAGGTTTCATAGTTTCATAGTTTCTAGGGTCGGAAGGGACCTGAGCAGATCATCTAGTCCGACCCCCTGCCATGGCAGGAAGAGCACTGGGGTCAAATGACCCCAATAAGGTGGTCATCCAACCTCCTCTTAAAAACCCCCAGGGTGGGAGCCTGCACCACCTCACTTGGAAGCTGGTTCCAGACCCTAGCCGCCCTGACCGTGAAGTAGCGCCTCCTGATGTCCAACTTAAACCTTCCCTCCGCCAGCTTGTGACCATTGTTCCTGGTCACTCCTTGCGGCGCTCGGGGGAACAGGGACTCCCCCAGCGCCTGCTGATCCCCCCTAACCAGTTTATAACAGGCCACAAGATCCCCCCTCAGCCTTCTCTTTTGAAGGCTGAACAGGTTCAGGTCCCGCAACCTTTCCTCATAGGACCTACCCTGCTGTCCCTTGATCATACGAGTGGCCCTCCTCTGGACCCTCTCGATGCTGTCCACATCCCTCTTAAAGTGCGGCGCCCAGAACTGGACGCAGTACTCCAGCTGCGGCCTGACCAGTGCCGCATAGAGGGGGAGGATCACCTCCTTGGACCTGCTCGAGATGCATCTGTGGATGCACGACAAGGTGCAGTTGGCCTTCCTAGCCGCCTCCCCACATTGCCGACTCATGTTCATCTTGGAGTCAATAATGACTCCCAGATCCTTTTCCACCTCCGTGCTGACAAGAGGGGAGTTCCCCAGCCTGTATGTATGGTGCCGATTGTTCCTCCCCAGGTGCATCACCTTACACTTGTCTGTGTTAAACCCCATCCTGTTCTCCTCCGCCCATCCTTGTAACCTATCTAGGTCCAACTGTAGCCTGTTGCTCCCCTCTATTGTGCCCACATCCCCCCACATCTTAGTGTCATCAGCAAACTTGAACAGGGTGCTTTGCACCCCCTCATCCAAATCACTGATGAAGATGTTGAACAGGGCGGGCCCAAGGACCGAGCCCTGTGGGACCCCACTTCCCACGTCCTTCCAGGTCGAGAAGGACCCATCCACTACCACCCTCTGGGTGCGACTCTCTAACCAGTTGGCGACCCATTGGACTGTATGGGTGTCTACGCCACAGTCCCCCAGCTTCCTAATGAGAATGGGGTGAGAGACAGTATCAAAAGCCTTCCTGAAGTCTAGGAAAACTATATCCACTGCCACCCCTGCATCCAATGATTTAGTGACCTGGTCGTAAAAGGCCACCAGGTTGGTCTGACAGGACCTGCCACTGATGAACCCGTGCTGGTTGCCCCTGAGCATGCAGTTCCCTGCTGGCCCCTCCTGGATGTGTGCCAGAATAATTTTCTCAAACAGCTTGCCCAGGATCGAGGTAAGGCTGACTGGCCTGTAGTTCCCCGGGTCCTCTTTCCTCCCCTTTTTGAAGATGGGAACCACGTTGGCCCTCTTCCAATCCTCCGGCACCTCTCCAGAGCACCACGAGTGTTCATAAAGCCGTGCCAGGGGACTTGCAATGACCCCAGCCAGTTCCTTTAGGACTCTAGGGTGAAGATCATCCGGGCCGGCTGACTTAAAGACGTCCAGCCCCTCCAGAAGCTCCCTAACTAAATCCTCACTCACTCTAGGCCCAGGTGAGCCTCCCTAGGTCTTGGGGATAGTCTAGGGTTTGTGCATATGTGTACATGTATGTACATCCAAAAATATTTATAATAAATTGGGATTCTATTACTGTTTAACTGCACAATTAAAGTAGTGATTAATCGCAACTATTTTTTTAAATCTTGTGATTAATTGTGAGTATTTTTTTTTAATCACACCCTAGTTATAACTAGGGATTCTGGTTTTTTCTGATTAAAAATTGCAAATTCTCTGATTAAAAAAAACAGATCAGAAAGGGGGAGGGAGCACGTCCCTATGCCCGTTCTCAGAATCTGGGCTGGGGGGTAAGGGCAGGGCTGCCCTGTGCAGGCTACACACATGCCAGCTGGCCTGATGGGAGTGGTTTGTACATGGTGGCCAACACTGCAACTCTTCTGCTGTGCCCCGCACTGCTTTCCCATGGCCAGCTGCACAGCTTTGCATGCAAGTGGCATGGGGCACAGAAGTGGTGGTGGCCACCATGTGTCAGCTGCTCATGTGCCGCCCAACTGGCTGACTGGTGGGGGAAGGAGCTGGGGGCTCACATGCGGCAGCTGCCACTTCACCACTGCTTGTGCCCCATGACCAGCTTCACAGCTCCATGGTAGTGCAAGGTGGTGGCTGTGATGGCTGTGTGCAGGCCAGGGGGCAGGGGTAGCCTTGCATGTGGCAGCTGCCATTACTGCTGCTTGCCTGTGGATCCATGCCTGTACAGAAGCAACCACAGCACGTGAGCCCCCCACCCGCGAGCATGGCTCTGAAGACAAGCAGCAGTGGTGCTGCAAGGTGGTGGTGGCCGCAGTGTGTGAAACCCCCCACCCCTGCCAGCCAGCCAGGTGACACACAACCACCACTGTCACCAAGCCGCACCACCACTGCCACTTGCCTAAGGAACCGTGACTGCGTCAACTGCGGCCGCCACCACATTGCTGCTGCTGCTCCTCAGCCAGGTGCACAGCTCCATAGGCACTGATCTGCGCCAGTGTGGGGTGGTGGCGGATGGATGCCAGCTGGCGGGGGTGGGGGGAAGGTTTCACATGCAGCGGCTGCCACCATGGGCACAGCTCCATAGGCAAGTGGCAGAAGTGACAGCTGCCACACGCAAGCCCCCCACCATTCCTGGTTGGTACACAGCCACCACAGCCACCACCCCTCAGTGCCATGGAACTATGCCCATAGAGCCCTGCTGCCAGCCGTGGGGTGGCAGCAGTGGTGCAGTGGTGGCTACCGCATGCGAGCCACCCCCGCCCCCCTCCACCAGCCAGCCAGCCAGCTGCACATGAGCACCCCACATGCAGTGGCCACCATCATACTGCCACTGCTGCACCCTGTGCCACTTGCCCACAGAGCCATGTGGCCAACCATGGGAAGGCAGCGTGGGGCATGGTGATAGTGGTGTGGTGGTGACTACTGTGTGCAAACTCCCCCGGCCGGCAAGCACATGTGCAGCTTGCAGAGGGGCACCCATGCCCTCACCCCCCCGGCCGTGCTCCTGGGAGCGGGCTGAGATTGGGGGCAAGGAGGCACTGCAGTTAAGTTAAATATTGCAGTCTTCTTTTTAGATACTTGTTTATATTAGCCAAATATCTATCTATTTCCTTGGTACCTCACTGGTACAAACCTAGATTCAATCTTCAAATCTAAAGTATGCTTATGTTTGCTTTACAAATAACCAGCAACAGGATTTTGCTCCATAAAGCAAAGTATCAGTGAGTTCACTAACAGGAAATGTTTCATTTTTGTTGTTGCAATGGGATGTGAAATTATTCAAGAGTAACACAATTTACATGGAAGCAATTTCCTATCCAGCAATGCAAATATGGACATGAACCTGAAACAATATACTGTTATGAAAGATCAAGGAACTGAAGTTCTGATTTTTCTTGGAATTAGGAGTGAGAAAAAGGCAAACGTGCTTAATGCACATATCTTGCTTATCTGACCAAATGCTTGCTCCTGGGGTGTTCTTTGATTGGTATTAGATGATCTAATTGTTAATGAGGCTATCCTGGCAAAAAAAAAAAAAAAGTATCAGAGGATTCAGTTACATTTTGCACTTAAAACTGACTTGAGGGACTGCACTTAATTTGTATATTATTTACATATATTTTATTGGCGTGTATATTATGCATCATTTGGGGATAATTTTAATAAGATACTTTTAGCTTCTGAAATTGGGGTATATAAAGAACTACATTCATATCTGATAACGAATGGACAGATGAAGTACGTCAAATAAGCCTAGGGCCAGTCACCCTAACTGCAACTCTATCCTGCAGTGCTAAGTGTAAATAGCATACAAGCCTTTTCATTCATTATTGTGTACACAGTCAGCTGGGATTTGGTGTGTTGCTGATCTACTCTCTCACCAAAGGCCAGAGAAGGAGGAAGAAAGGCTTTTTCTGAGTGTCCCTCTGTTGTGATAAGCAGATAATAGGGGTCTTATAAGCTAGTAACTACTTCTAAGGAACCATACACTAAATACTGGCACACTGCTGGAGGTGGCCTAAGGAGCTGAGATTTTTTTCAGAGGAAGCAATTAGAGCTGAGACTCAAAAGAACAAGGACAATATCTGCTTGAGGTTAAATCAGTAAGAGCAGAACCTAGACAAAGAACTTGGCTGAGAGCCCCCATCCCCAGCACTAGAGCAGTGTTCACCTGTGGTGGTACAGGTAGCAGAGCCCCCAGAGTGTGCCTCAGTCTCCTAACCAAGACACTGGCCTGCTTCCCCTAGAAATCCTTAAAGCTGGGACAAAAAAAATTGTGAGTGAGTACAACTAGGAGAAGAAATAGCAGCCAGTTGCTCATCAGTCATTCACAGGTGTGGGAGGAGGACTGGGTTCAGGACTATTGCCAAGAAATTCTTAGGTAGATTCACCTGCTGATAATTTGTTATTTACATTTTCTTAAGATGCTGTTTCAATTTTGTAGTTCACTTTTTAAGAAAATCCTGTTTGGTTAACCCCCTAGACTCATTGCTTTTGAGTGGGGAATAGATTAGTGGCCTGAAGGAATAAAAATATATGATACAAAAGGAATAACAAATAGAAAATAAAATATAAAACAAACCAGAAATACAAAGAGAATAAGGAGAAGATAAAAGAGCTCTTCTTCTGAAGCCTTGATGCAGTGTGTGTGTGTCAGCTCTTCTTAGGTACTGCAGCTACAAAGCCAGGCTAGCCAGCAGCCAGAAATGATCCACAGCACAAGGAGCATTCTGCAGTGCTGAACAATTGACAGAGCAGCTCTTCAGTCTCTTTGCACACACACATAGTCTACCGCTACAAATGGAGGTAGGGAGGTGTGACTGAGATGGGAGGATCAAGCACTAGTAAAAATGATGAGAGTGGGGTGCAAGCCTGTTCTTCTTTCTCTCCATGTAGCTGTTGCAGACTGCATTAGTGAGAGCATCTACAGTAAAAACAGGTGCTCTGTGTGAAGAAAAGCAGGAAGCTTCTGGAGGTACAGAAGAATCAAAATCAGCAAACTTCTGAACAGTTGGATACGTACTGCAGGTCACAGAGGTAAAGGGGGAAATACCTTGATTGTCTGCATTCCAGCATAGGTGAATATTCTCCTACAACTATGTAGCTAAGATAAGAAGACTAGTCATGTTCCTGCTCCAGGGTGTAAACTGATCTAGCCGGAGTTTGGACATAGCATTCCACAGCTTCCTGGGTGTGAAATTAATTCACCAAGTTAAGCTTGCATAACTGAAGAATGGAGCTGTCTGTGCTGCTGCATGTCAAGGAGCACACTTCTAAACCACCTTATCCAGAGGCGGGAACATTAGATCCCAAAATCTCACTGCATACAGGAAACAAAGGGGCTGCACTGATGCTTTATGGCCCAGATGGGAAAAGGGATTATACTCCCAAAGCTATAAGAACACAAGCAAAACTTGGAAGAGGAGCAGAGTTCAAACTCTGGCCTTAGTACAGACTGTTTCCTCCTGTCCTGTGAAAAATCTGAAGTTCCATCAGTGCAGGTCCCTAGCAGGTGGCCTTACAATAAATCCCAATTCTCACCGCCAAAACCCTGCCAGAATTCATAAGTGAGACAGATATATCAGAATCCTGCCTTCATTAGAATCACAACGAAAGCTACATTTTAAATATCTTCTCTCTGCTTTGAAGTTCTGTACATTTTAACTTCTGCCTATTTCTCCTCTTGCATCTCCTCCTTTCTTGGTCTTTTGTACCACCCAAGGTACATGATTTACTATTCCTAGCACTCCTCTATTAGGAAAGTATCATACAAAAGTAATGGACTGCAAAAGGAGGTGGGGACCTCAAAAATTATTTAGCCATATACATTTCAAGTGGCTTCTACTGACTTGGGCCACTAGACCTCTCTTCTTTTTATCTTTGAGGTCAATCTTAGAATATGCATCTCCCAGGGTTGTGTGTCCTGGATATTAACAGTATAAATAAAAATAAGGTAGATGTGTGATAAACTTCACCCATCTGCCACTGTTGCACCATCTACATTGGGTACTTATAGGGTGACCATATGGACAATGTGAAATCTGGGACCCTGCCTGCCTGCCTGCCTGCCTGAAAACCCACCCACCCACTCCCCCCAAGTCACTGCTACAGGTAGAAAGGAAGAGGCAGCCTGGTGCAGCTCTGCTATTACTATTCAGGCAGCTAAAGGAGTTAATGGCCCAGTGTTCTTTACTTCACAAGTGTTAACGATCATCTCCCCTTTTTATTTGTCATTTCAAGCTAACCTATTTTAGGGCAATTTCGCTTTCTGCCAGGGCTTCTTATTTCACAGCTTGTGCCATTCTGCCTCTATGTCCCGCTCCTCAGAGGCACCCAATGGATGGGATTGGCCTCCAAAATCTGGGACTGTGCCAGCCAAATTACAACATATGGTCACCCTACATACTTAGACTGTGATCATGTAGTCCAGGGGTAGGTAAGCCCTAGCACAGGTGCTAGAATGTGGCATGCAAAGGCATTTTGCTTGGGACACGTGCCTCGGGGTGGACAGTGAGGATGGGGCCAAGGCTGCACTGCCACAACAAAGGTCGAGCCCTTTGCAGCTCCCCTGTCATCTTACAAGTTGAGGTTGTGGGTGTTTTTGGCACCATGCCCAAAAACGTTGCTGACCCCGATGTAGTCTATACTATGAAGAAAGGCATCCATGCTTACTAGTCAGATCCTTTAGTTTACAAGATCTTTGGGGCAGACAGCTTTATCCCATATGTGTCTGTCAACTGGCTTGCACATTGTTAGGTCTAAAAATAGACCTGATCAAAACAGTTTTTAATCAATGTTTCTAGCAAAATATTTCTTTAATTAAAATGACTTATTGTACAAAATAGAAATGCCATATGAGAGAAATTCCATCTTCATTTTAAAAGGCTTGCTGTTTCACTTGGAGAGGGGAGTTAACTGACCACTGAAAAAATTACTCAAAACTAAAATAAAACATTGTCCTAAGCAGTGGGGTTTCATACTGAGCCCAGTTGGGTGCATAAAACTGGTACAGCTGCTTTGTAGCTATGTTCACTGGTGTAGTCAGCTATACTTTTCCCTTTGATACAGGGTTTGGTCCACTAGATCTGCATGACTCATGAAGTCACTGACATAAACCTTCCCTGTGATGTTACAGAGAAGGTTGCTATAGAAAAGGCTGTGTGAGGCATCTTGTGTGGGACTTTTAGGGACATAGGAACTGCTGCCGCTGTTGGGGACATAGAAACAGCATAAGAACAGTTTTTAAAGGAAGAATGGAGAACTGAGAATGGTAGTGTGAGAGTGATGTTATAACCGTGATGTTCCTGGAATTATGCACAAGGCAAGGATTTCTTTCGGCGATAGCTTTTATTGGAGCAACTGCATAGTTGGGATAGAGCTAGACAAGCTTTCGAATGCAAGGCATTCTTCAGAATAAGTATATAGGTATTTTAGGGCTCACAAAAATTTGCTTGTGAACCACATTCAGGCTGCCTAAGCTTCATGCAACAGAAAACCAGATTCATACATCACACACTCCACCCACGCTGTCAAAAAGAGAGACACAGGTCCCCAGGCATTACAGAGTATACAGCTGTGTACTTTCCTTGGCTCTAATTGGTAGATAAAGGGAGGCAGCTGGGCTCTGACCAGTAACCACTCAAGGACAACAGTGTTATTCTAAGAAAACTGCCTTCACAGTAGGAAAGCTTCAGGTAAGAGAAACTGAATGTGACTGTGGAGGAAAACTTCTTAGCACTCAAGAGGCCAAGTATGAGCTCTATGTAAGTTGATTGTTACCCTGAATTAGATATGAACTTTGCCTGACTTCTGGAAAAGCAGGGCTAAGGAAGATGAGACTGTTTACTATATGTACCTGGAATTTATTAAATAATGTCTGAATAAACAAACCGTAGGAGGGGGACTTAATTTCTTAAGTCTGCTAAAAAGTGGATAATTATCAGTCCAACATAAATCAGACCTTGTGCAGGTGAGTGAATCAAAATCCAACTTCTATCAGAATGCTTTCAGAAAAACCTTATGGGAAGTGTAGGGGGAATATTTATGCTGAAATCCTTTTCATTGGGAAAAGGTGCTTAGGCAAAGTCACTTTTTCCCCCAGAATATTGTATCAACTTCAGTGTTTTCCCTTGGGGAAAAAAATGTCTATTTTTCTGCTTTGAAAAAAATGCTTTAGAGTTTTGTTCTGGTTTTATGGATTTTTTTTGTTTTACATTATTTCACAACATATTAGTGCAATGCATGATAAATACTACTATGATTGAACTATCATAACACAAACATTATTGTGAGCTATTATTTTGTTTTGTTCAATAGATGATGTGCTGCCCTCCAAACTGTTGTCTGTGATTTTTATTTAAAAAAACAACCCCAAAACTTACTGTCTGTAAGGGAGTCCCATCCCCATTAACTACAACTATCAACTTTGCAAAAGAAGGGAATACAATAATTTAAAAAAAAAGAATATGCTGCCTTACCTATAGTTGTTCCCAGCTGGACCTTCAAGTGAGGACAGCATTAGATGCTACCTGTGCTGCAATACAGTGGATGCTGTTCAGTTGCTTTCAAGTACACCTGGAGCCAGCCTCTGCCATTACCTGGGATTAGATTTTGTAGTTCATGTTTAGCCAGGTAATTCATCTAAAATGAGAGATCTGATCCCATGTCCGTCGTGGTGTTCCCTAAGGAAGATCTGCCTCTTGTGAGTCCACTACTTTACTCCTGTGCCTAGAAAAATATGACTGCTCTCACTGGGTGTAAACCCACAAACCTTTGGAAGCCATTCAAAAGGACAGCAGCTGGTATGCTCTAATTTTTGTGGAAAGGAGTTAAGAAGAATTCGAATGCTGGAAACTGGCTCTGCTCTGGATGAAGACTTTTAAAGTTGGAGCTGTTTGCTGCATTTAAATCATTCTTAATTTGTGCACATGCAACTAGAAGGTTCCAGATGCTGCCCTTTTTTGAAAGGGGTTAATGGGTTCACATCCTACGGCAAGTTTCTCTGTTACTCAGTAAGATGAGAAGTTCCAAGCAGATTCCTTCTGATGCAGGGCTGTGCAAGTGGTGGTTAGTCAAGGGCTGCATGTTTGGCCCATGAGAGGTTTAGCTGAGGGGCTGGGGGCTCTGGGCTCCCCCTCCCTTCTCTAGATGCTACTTCCTGCCCCTGCCCCAGAGGATGAGTGCAGGGCTCTGGGCATGCAGTGCAACAGTAAGGGGGTTGTCCATGTGGGTATACCATGCAGCAAAGTGACACCCATGCAGCATATGGTCCAGGGGCCCACGACTCACTCAAACACAGTCCTTGACTGCTTGGAAGTTGGGCAGGCCTGCTATTACCTAATGGGATCAACGGAACCTCTTGCAAAAATAGATGTGCTGGTTGTAGTGGATGAATTTGGCTTTATTTTACCACCATTTCCACTCTAGTTTCAACTGAAAACATATTCTTATTTCTTGTCTTGGATAGCTTCTTCCTGAAAGCAGCTGCATTTTGCTGGTGGATGTTGCTGTGTGCAGTTTGTCAAGTTTGCAGAGTACTTTGGGTTCCTTTTACTATGGAATATGCTATTTACATCTCAGCCTGTTATCTAAGAGAGTGGTTGTCCCCAGATAGACATGTGCTTCAGTTTGGGGGAACCCCAGTGCTCTTTCACTAATGTGCAGTGAGACATTGGGCAAGTTGCTTCCCCTCTCTGTTCTTCCTCTCTGCCCTTCATCTGTCTTGTCTAGCTAGACTGCAAACTGTTCGAAGCAGATGGTCTCTGATGGGTCATACAGTGCCCAGGGATATTGTGTTGGTATCTCTAGACTTGTCTAAACTGAATACATTTTGGTCTGCTAATACTGGGCCAGCTTCATTAGTGACAAAAAGCCATACAAGAGCATGTATCCCAAAAGGGGTTAATCTGCAGCTACCAGGCTCTCATTCAGCTGCCGCTCCTTCCATCTTGTGGCTGTAGCAGCAGCGAGGAGCCCTGGGCTTCCTTTTTGACGTATGCTTCCTGCACATGTCCTGGGGGCAGCATATCACGCAGGAGCCCACAACTGGTACCTGCCCACATGAATGGTAGAATGGCTGCCCCCACACATAGTGGAGTGGTGAGGGGTCTTTTTTTTTAATGGCCTTTGGCCATCCTGGTGCAGTCCACACAGGGTGAAGCCCCCAGCCACTAAGAAGTCAGACAGCCTTGCTGTTGACTCATTTTTCTTTAAATAAAAAATCCTCTGAAATGTTGTTCTGGGTAGATACATTACTTAAAATGCCAGTGAAAGCTGGTTGCCTATCAACATTACAACTCCAAACATTAAGAACAAAAAAGCTGAACTGGTATTGACAGCTACAGAAAATGTTGTTTGCAGAAGCCATTTAGATGAGGCTTTTTTGTGGTGGAGACTGGGAACTATGATGTGATTCTACACCTGGATCTGGTTGCTATGTAGGCTTGAGCAGTACATACCTTTCCCTAGGGTTGTCATAATCAATCTTCTGTTCTTGTGTATAGAATCATAAATGTTTTTTTATTTTGGGATGGGGAGATTATGAGGTTGTGTCCATTGCAAAAGAGGCCAGACTAGGAGTCAACCATTTTGTGTCACTAAGTTGCTCTGAGTTTGGGCAAAATGATATATAGATACTCAAAGGGCACTGAGATATCTACCCCAATCCCACCACAACACATCTGGAAAGCAGGTTTGCTACAAAAAAAACACATCCCAATCAATAAGTGAACAAAGATAGTTTTGTTCATAATTATGACTTAACAGATGCATCTGATTTCTTGACATTTAGCCTAAATGGTCTTTTCTCTATGTTACCAATATGTTCTTATTCTAAGTAAGCACTGTGCAGACTTTAAGGAAAAGACATGAACAGTATTTTTTTTTTTTTTCTTCACAGGTTCAGAATCTTAAAATTGAAGAAATCATGGTGGAAACTGTCCTGGCACCATGGACAATATTCTTGGTCATCTTCGCTGCAGTGCTCATAATGAGCTTTTTGATGTTTCTTCCCCCTGCTGCCGTTGTGATCTGGAGAATGAAGTATATGCCTCAAATATCTTTGAATGGAGCTGTATAACTAGGCCTCTTGGATGATATAATTCCATGGATCCCATCAAAGACTCTAAATAAACCAAGCTATGAAAGTGTCTCATAGATAGCAATTATTGCTTGAGATCCATCATGAGACTGAGCTTTTCCAAAGTCTATAATTGCTGAAATCCTGCAGGATGCTGCATCTAATTAATACAAATGTAATATGGCTGCTACTACTCTACCTTCAACTTATTGGCTGGGGGCTGGTATGGCACAGGTGCTAAGGTATACAGTTGATAGCCCAGGAGTCACAAGTTTAAGGCCATAGCCTCAGCACTCACAGTGCAGCCAGTCAGATTCTATTGAATCTGGAATTTCTGATAAACATTTTGTCACAAGAACATGAGAAAAGAAAGGAAAAGACGTCATTGGTTGTATTGCAGCTATCATCACTTGTTTGTTTCTTGGACTGAGTTTCTCTTTATGACCATCCCTGACAAAATATGACTAGAGAAAAGCAAGTGTATAATGCTGTGGTCTCTGACTGCCCTTAAGTAATCTGAATGCTGCTTGCCTTTTTCTACTTATGAATAGGCACTTGCAAGCAGTTGCAGCAAATTGTCTTACTTTTAAAACATATGGCAATTATAAAAGTCTGAGAAGTTCAAGGCAAATGGTACGCACTAGGAAGTATTATTTATCACAATCTGACAAAAGCTTAAAAAGGGAGTGATGCTATAGAAAGTATATTGTGGTACTGCTAATGGTTATTCAACCATTAGTCTTGCACCTGCATGATTTGAAAACTTGTTCGTGGTCTAGAACACTTGTTTTTCTTGTCTGCTTTTTTTGCAAATTCTAACAGTCGGAACACAAAGCTAGCCCCAGCCCTTGGCTAGAATTTTGGTTTGATTTATATGCTCTGGTGCTCAAATATGCCAATGTAAACACCGACTATGACAAGTTAATACAAACAGACTGCAGGTGTTTTCCCTGAAATATAGTATATGAATGTACTGGAGGAAATAGTGAGATGTATTTAAAACTAAAGGAAATTTAAATAAACATGATTGCTTACTTTGTGCGCCTGATCACTTCTCTCACAGAATATTTTGAAAGGGAGGAAATATAAAAGCATAGTTGTGATCTTGTAAGCAAAGCAAGAGCCAGTGTTCTATATAGGTAAAACATGTATATAGAGGGTCTTATTCTGCTTCTGTTATGCTGAATGAAGTAGGATGACTTGCGCTTACTGCTTTCTCTTACCCTACAGGAAGGGTTCCATGAGCTACTTTGTAACTTGCATTCTGATGTAAATGTATGCCACTGATCGGAAGCTGTACTGTTTATCCTGCGAAGGTCACTAGCATGCCAATTTAATGGAGTGAAAATGTCAGTATGCTAATGGTTCTTCAAAAAAATAATACTTAAATCAGCTTCATTCTGCACATGCTAATCCAAGCTGTTCTGGCCTGAGGCTGAATAAATCCTGAAGACTAAATTTCGTTATTTTAAAATTTCTCATTTTCTGGCCAAAAAAAAAAGAGAGAAGATAACTGCACTGTAGTTTTGTTTCCTGGATTGAGTTTCTAAGTATGACCATTCTCTTTATGATCTTCCCCCTCTCTATAGTTTTGGTGCCAGAGGCAGGGCTGCAAACCAGGCAGATACCTCCATCAACTTTGAATCAAAAGTCCAGAATCCTCTCCCTATACTCCCCTCCTAGGGGTTCTGGTCTCTGTGCCCAGGATTGTTAATGTTTTGGTGTTTTTAATCCAATGACCGTTCTATGAACAATGGAGAAATCTGCATCTTTTGAATTCAGAGGGCAATATTTGTGTTCCTTCTATGGTGAATAAGTTTAATTCAGTATAGTACTGCCTTATAGGGCTGTGCAAAGCTTCAGACCACGATTCGGATTCAGACGATTCGGAGGCCGAATCAGCATGTCCAGATTGGATTGCTGGCTGCTTTAGGCTTTCCAAATTGATTTGGAGCTTCTGAATCAATTCAGAAAAGATTCAGAGGGCTGTCTGTAGGGGGAAACAGAAACTTAGAAGAGGGAGGGGGAGGAGGGGGGAAAAGACTGATAAGTCTAGGTGGCCAGTGAGCATGATTTCTCTCTGACTGCCTTTCCAATTACAGTGGCTGGGGGGAGGGACATAGAAACAGCATAAAAGCCTCTGTGTGCAAGCTTGCTCTGCCTTTTGTCATTTGGTTCTGTCTGAGAAACAGCATCAGAAAGGTACTGTGCACTGCATGGCTTGCTTCATAGTCAGCAGTTGTTACTTGCTTGCTCCTTTTTGTTGTTAGAAAGGATTGGGTAAGATTTAGCTTAGCTTAGGATCTCTTAATACTATCCAGTTCATTTCTTTCAATTTATAGTTGCTCGCTCTTTTTTCTTTTTTTGCAAACTTGGAAGAAAGAAAGCTCTGTGTTTTCCCTGCCAACGTGATCCATCACTCTGCAGGGAGGCATACAAATTGCACACACACACTTATAATATACAGACATACAAGAAGAAAAATCAGATATTTGTAGAAGAGAGTCAGATTATATATAGTAGTTATTAGTTATTAATATTATTATAGTTAGTTTACATAAAGACTAAAGACAACACAGAAGTCAGATTGAGACTAACACAGAACTCAGGGTTTTAGAAGAAGGAGATATATCATTTTAGGTACACATTAGAACACAGAAGAAGAACAAGAAGTACAGTAGTAGTAGTCAAACATTCACATTAATAGAACATCACAGAAGAAGACACCATATATAGTTATTAATAATCAAATCAGAGTCCAGTGCATGCACACAACACAGAGGGAATAAAACACACAACACAAAAGGAGTGACACACACATGCACCTTTTGCAGCACAGGAAAGATAAGGTCTTCTGGCAGGTACTGGAAAAGCAGGTTCCAGGTCTTCTGGCAGTGAAGGGAGAGGGAGTAAGGGGAGAGCTAGAGCTGCAAGTCCCCACCCCCCAAAACATAGATGCATTCTCTTCCCAAGCAACCATGATGCTTCTGCTGCCAGTGGAAGCAAGGCGGTGGGAGCAGTGTCTGCACCTGACATCCCTGCATCTGCACCACCTCCCCTCAGTTCAGAAATAGGCACCACCAGCAGAATCACTGTCTTCTCCACCCCAATGTCATCTCTTAGCGTGAGCCTCCCACTGTCAGAGCTGGAGCTGGAACCAAGGGTGCTGAGCACCCTGGCTCAAGGAATTCTGGGGACCAAGGGAGAATCAGAGTTTGTGCTCCACACCCCTCAAATTTCCCCTAGACCCAGGTATCCTCCAGAAAGCAGCACCACAGAGGAGGTTGAGGTTGTGGAGGCAAGTGGCTCAGCTGAGGCAGCTCCTCCTGCTGTTGTGCCTCAGCCTACTGAGGAGTGGGATGAGGCAGCATCCTCACCCTCAGCCCAGAAGTGGGGGAGTAACATACTGTGGGAGAATTCTGAGCTGGCAGATGATCCCAGGTTTGCCATCTGCTAGCACTGCTGAAGACACATCAGCCAGGGAAAGCACATGAAACACTTTTCCACCACAGCGATGCTGCTGCATCCAAGGAGGCAGCACCCCCTTGCCCATCTTCCTGTTCAGCCTGGCACCAGTGCAAGCATACCAAAAGGGAAGTCTCCCACTCATTCCAAAGCCCCCTTCCCCGCAAAGCAGAGGCAGGCCACCCTGGACCAGTGGGGGAAAGCTACAGACAGAGCGGGGGTGAGTTGCAAAGGCGAGCAAGATCACCCAGAGCATTGGGGAGATGCTTGCTCTGGATAGCCAGCCCTTCTCCCTAGTTGAGTGTCCAGGATTCAGGTGGCTTGTAGTACTTCTGGCCCCACCTTACAAAGTCCCCACATGCACCACCTTTGGCAGGATGGTGGTACCCACCACTGTATACAGGGAGTACTTGAGGGAGGAGCTGTGCAAGGCAGGGCCACAGGTAGCCTTGCACTTCACCTCAGACATCTGGAGCAGCCAGGGTAGCGATCACGCCTACCTCTCCCTGACAGGGCACTCGTGCTATCAGTCAGGCCATTGGTGGGCTCTCCTGCCACCTGAGGTGCTGAATGAGTCCCACACAGCAAGGGAGATCATGGGGGCCATGAACTGAATGGTGCAGGGGTGGCTCATTGGGCAGGCCGAGCTCACCCGCGGGTTCATGGTCATTGACAACAGGGCCAATATGGTGAAGGCTGTCCATGATGCCAATTTTGTTGGCATCCACTGTGTGGTACACAGGCTGCCCATCATAGTAAGGGATGCATTGGAGGGGGACAGGGCTGCTGGTGATGGCACCACCACCACTACTGCTACAAGCCAGCTGATTTCAAAATGCAGGCAGGTGGTGGGCTATTTCCACTGCAGCATCAAGGGGTACACTACCATGTTGTGTAGAGGCCCCAGCACCAGTGAGGGCACACCTTAACACAAACGCAGTGTCACCCACCCAGTGTCACAAGTTTTGCCTGTTAACAGCCAGAGGTGCAGGGCCCCAGAACCTCCCCCTGCACCTATCTCTTTGACAGCTGGCAGGCTTAATGGCCACAGCAGGGCCTGGCAGGCCTGCAGTAGTTTCTCTCCCCTGCCCCTCCTGCCACACCCTAAGACAGATTTGTCTGACAAATCTGTCACACCCCATAATGAAAACATATTAGCATCATGATGGTCACTATGTTTATGGAACAGACAAGCTTGAAGAATGGATACAGCTGTTTAAAAATATTCTGAATATTTTATTTATACAAAAATTGCCCATTATCCCTTTTAGGATGATTTGTGTGCAATAAGCTTATCATTTTTAACTTATCTACAAAGTGAGGCATCATAGGCACCATAAAGACTCAGTTAAACCTGGTTTCCTGTTGTCAGCATAAGCTTACAGTAATTGCCTGATCACATGACAACTTGGAAATTTGTCCCTCACTATTTAGAGATGCAACCTATGCTGCTAAAAGCACAAGGAAAAATATTTACTCAGTTTGGTCGAGCTTGACTTTGATAAAAAAGATAAAATGAGATACTCTATTGAAGTTCATTCCCTGTGAAGTTGTGTTGCAACTCAGCAGAGCAAACAATAACAGTGCATAAGGTAATGGAAAAATCCATTAAAAAATCTATGTAATTTAAAGGGTCTATTTATTTTCAGTGAACACAGTTATTCCTTTAAAACAAATATTGTGTGGCCATTTTTAGTCATTACCCTATGTCCTAAAATTCTCTAGTTCTTTGCTTTCTGCCTTAAAGTTACTTTTCTTAATAACACAGTAGTAAATTTAAAATGATATTCAATAGCCAAATATTTTGGTGAGTTTAACCACTTCAACTATCTGTGGATATAATCATTGGAAATTTCCCCATCCCCTGCTCTGTCTCTGCACCCAGGATGCTTGTTTTATTTTCACTGTCTGACCAGGACCAGCCCCCAAAATCTGGGACATATGATTACCCTATTTAAAGGTAACCTGCAACAGAAGCAGGTCCCTTAGGGGACTGATCCAGTAGGCAGTTCACAGCACATAGAGAGGATAGGGTGTCTTATAAAATGCAGTGGCAGATATGTTTTGCTCTGGGTTGTTTTTTAAACAAAGCAATGGGAAGAAAAGGAAATTCCCATCTTTAAAATTATATCCTAATGCTTCAAACTCACCCAGAACCAGAACCAGATTGAATTCTCTATTCAGTTAAATGAGGGTTAAATCCACATCTGCCATCTCCCTAGAGAATGGCCTAACCACCAGTCTATTGGCTATTCCAGGTGGGGCACTTTTTATGCCCCCTGCTGAAGGTGTGTAGCAGTGCAATAAAGACTGAAGAATTCATTGGGCCAAAATAAAGATACCAACAGTGAACTCACTAGCATGAAATTGAGGATCAGCATTTCTGATTTCTACTCCCCAAACTGTTTCTTTATTGTTCATAGAACTGTCATTAGATAAAAAAAAACACATTAATAATCCTGGGAACAGAGACCAACCCCTAGAGAGGGGATAAGGAGAAGATGTGGGATTTTTGATTCAAAGTTGATAGAGGTATCTGTCTGGTGTCTGCCTGGTGTCTGCAGCTCTTCTTCTGACACC